ATAGACTCCCACGGATCGGCTTTTAAAGGTAGACTTTATGGGAATGAAACGTCGACATCCATTCTCCTTCTCTTCACTGTTACACTGTGGAATGGCGGGAGAGGGAGGAGAGGGAGGAGAGGGAGGTGGAGAGGAAAAGAAGGAGAGAGGGAGAGGGTAAGGAGAAGAGGGTGGAGTTGAGAGGAGACGGTAGGAGAGAAAGGAGAGAGAGGGGAGGGAAGAAAGGAGAGAGGAAGAGGGGGGAGAGAGAGGGAGAGGGAGGAGAAGGAGAGGTGGTTGGGTGGGAGGAAGAAGAGAGGGAAGTGGAGAGGGTAGGAGGAGGAGAGGGACGAGAGGGAGTAGGGGAGGGAGGGGGGAGAGAGTGAGAGGGTGAGAGAAAATGGAAGAGAGGGAAAGGAGGGAAAGAGGGAGAGGGCAGGAGAAGTGGGAAAGAGGGAGGTGGATAGGGAGAGAGAGAGTTGTGAAGAAAGAAGGAGAGATGGAGAGTGGTAGAGGGTAGGGAGGGAGAAGAGAGAGAAGGAAAGGTCAGAGAAAGAAAAGAGAAGAGAATAAAGGTGTAGAAACATTTAGAAACAGGGGAAGGAGATGAATAAAAAAGAAAGAGAGAGGGGAAGGAAGGAAAAACCAAAGGAGAGGAGAAACTGAAAAAGCGAAGAAGCGAAAGAGTAGCAGAGTACAAACAAACAGAACGAGAGGCGTAGACCGGAAAAAAATGAATAAGTGAAGCTTGATAAACGGGAGAGATAGACGCAAAAGACGAGAGAAATGAAGAAAAAAAAGAATAAAAGAATGAAAAGAAGAATGGGGGAAGAGTGAAAGACCAAATAGAGGGGAATGAAGCAAGCAGTGAAGTAGAAAAAAAAAGAGAGGAGAGATGAGCGAGACAGAAATAAAAAATATATCAAAGACGAAACAGATGAAATAAAATAGGGAAAGAATAACCAGAAAAAAGACTGAAGGAATAATGGAAAAGGGGAGAAAATTGGATGAGAAGAGGGAAGGGCAGAGGAGAGAGAGGAAAGAAGGGAAAGGGGAAGGAGGGGGGAAGAGGGAGAAGAGAAGGGGAGGTGAGAAGGAAGGGAGTGGAAGGAGGAGAGAAGGAGAAGGAGAGGAAGGAGAGAGAACGAAGGAGGAGGGGAGATGAAAAGAGGGGAGGAAAGAGAGGAGGAGAGGAAAGGGAGTGAGAGGGGAAGGGAGGGGAGGAAGAGGGGAAGGAGGGAGGGAGGGAGAGAGAGGAGAAGGGAGAAGGAAAAGGGGGGAGAGAGAGAAGGAGGAGGAGGAGAGAGGAAGGAAGGAGGGGAAGGGGAGGGGAAGAGTGAGAGGGGAGAAAGGCAGGAGAGATGGAGAAGGGGAGGGAGAGGGAGAGAAAAGGGAGAGATTGGAAACAGAGAGGAGAAGGAGAAGAAGGAGGAAGGAGGGGAGAGTGAGGGGGGAAGAGGGGAGGGAGGGGGGGATAGGGAAGAAAAGCAAAGAGAGAATAGGGGCGTATGGCGTAACAGGGAGAGGAAAGAACGAGAGAAATAAAAAGTAAAAATGTGAGAATAGAGGGAAAAGAGGAAGAAGGAAAAAAATAGAGAGGAGAGATGACATGACAAACTAAAGGGGGAAGGATATAGCCTCACAAAAACAAGATCGGTTAGTTATTGGTGGCGGAGAGAGGAGGAGAGAGGAGAGAGAGAGAGAGAGAGAGAGAGAGAGAGAGAGAGAGAGAGAGAGAGACGAGAGAGAGAGAGAGAGAGAAGAGAGAGAGAGAGAGAGAGAGATGAAGATACAAGGAGACAGAGATGGAGGAGAGAGAGAGAGAGAGAGAGAGAGAGAGAGAGAGAGAGAGAGAGAGAGAGAGAGAGAGAGAGAGAGAGAGAGAGAGAGAGAGACAGAGACAGAGACAGAGACAGACAGACAGACAGACAGACAGAAAGACAGACAGACAGACAGACAGACAGACAGACAGACAGACAGACAGACCTACCCTAACAGTCTTGCTCCACAATCAAGGTGAGTTCATTTGCCTACCTTTGTCTCATGCGTGCATTACAGAGCAATTTATCATTACAAATTGACGTCTTTTACAACCGGATATTAAAGTTTGGAGATAGAACAGAATTACCAAGGCAATAAACACAGCGATATACTTTGGAATAAATTGTTAGTGGGTACAGAAAGTTATCGTTTAGGGCGGACTGCCATTCGTCAGCTGTTTTAGCGTGAAACTCGATTTAATTTTCTGTGTTTAGTGTAAATTATCTGAAAGATGATTGAGGGGGAGAGAGGGGGGGGGAAGAGGAGGGGGAGAGAGGGGAAGAAGGAGAGAGAGGGGGAGGGGGAGGGGAAGAGAAAGAGAGAAGGAGGGGAGGGAGAGGTGAGAGAGGAGAGAGAGAGGGGGGGGGGTGAGGAGGGAAGAGAAGAGAGGGGGAGGGCGAAGGGGGGAAAGTGAAAGAGAGAGGGATGGGGCGAGAAGGAGAGGAAGGAGGAGAAGGAGAGGAGAGAGAGATGAGAGAGAGAGAGAGAGAGAGAGAGAGAGAGAGAGAGAGAGAGGAGAGAGAGAGAGAGAGAGAGAGAGAGAGAGAGAGAGGAACAGAGAGAGAGGAGGAGGGGGGGGGAAGAGAGAAGAGAGAGAG